CCATGGGATCCAAGGGACTGGAGAACCGGCAAGAAGCGTGTTCAGGAGAGCAAGAGCTTGCTTCGGGAAATTACAATCCCTTTGCTCCCACCCCAGCACCAATGATGCTGATAAGTGTTTCCACCAACCCCTGCCTGACTTTGCATTACCACTAGCATCCCATGCTTAACTCCATTATCATCTTAGGACTGGAGTTTTCAGCATTAAAGACCTCAGGTCAGAAAAACAAACAAAACAAAAACAAAAAGACCTCGGGTCTTGCCAAAAACTCCCACTGTCACCTTTGAAGGTTGTGTTTTCTTTTTCCAATACTCATTCCAGCTCCCTGGACCACACTCTAGCCGTACTCATTGTGGTGTGCTGGCCATTTTCCCCATTCTTCTTTTTTTAAGGATCCGAACCCATGGCCTTGGTGTCATAAGCACCGCACTCTCCCGAGTGAGCCACGGGCCGGCCCCATTTTCCCCATCCTGCAAGGCTGCCATCATCTCCCTCGTTGAACTCTCTCGACATCAATATTGGCCCCATTCACTTATCCAAACCCTCCCCCATGTTTATTCTGAGTACCAAGAATGAAATTTGTGTTCTACAATGTGGGGAGAAGAGGCAACTCTGTCAATATACCGTAATGTGGGTACAAATCCTTTCAAGGAAGTTGCTCCTTCCTACATAGAGCTGCCAGAGACCTATTATGCCCTCTTCTAGGCCTACTTCTCTAGGGGATTCAGCCTGTCTCTAGGCCTCAAATTCTCTTCTGTAATATTTCTATCTGCCCCATACCATTCCTCTCATATGTATACCACGTTACCTCAGTGATTTGTTAATATAAAACAGAAAGTTTATAACTGAGTCGTCACAGCTTCTTGCCTGTGATTAAAAATACCAGTACAGGGGCTGGCTGGTTAGCTCACTTGGTTAGAATGTGGTGCTGATAACACCAAGGTCAAGAGTTCAGATCCCCCTACTGGCCAGCCGCCAAAAAACCAATAATAATAATAATAGTACTTTTTATCCATCACACTCCCTCTGTCCCTATCCCTGCAGGGTTTACCCATTTTTTCCCTTGCTTCTCTTACTCCCCACCTTTCCCTGATACCAGCACATGCAAAAGGTTAAGAATCCCTTCCTCTCTTCTTGAGGGCTAGGATGTATGTGCTTGTGTGTTGCTTTATGGTCTTTACAATTTTGTGCCTCCCCCTCCTTATTCTGGCCCGACGCTACCCTCCCAGATAAATTATAAACAAACCACTAGCATAATTGGCCCACAGAGACTAAAGGTGGGACAATCTCCTAATTAATGCACCCAAGGGGGTAGCCTCTCTAGCCAGTTACCGTAGAGTTCTGTTTCCATCCCAGCATACAGAAGAACCTAGAATAACACTTAGAGTGGGCTGTCCATGAGAGCTTTCAGCATATGTTCTAATTCCTATCCTTACACCTCTGATCTGTGTGAACCCGACAAACTCTGCTCATAAGAGATCCAAGGAGCCACGGTATTCTGTTCTGTCAGAAAAGGGGATTTTGGAAGAAAACAGAGAGAAGAAAAGCCACAGTGGCAGTGCACTCTGATGGCTAGACAGGCTGCACATCATGTGGGGCTTGGGGGTGACACACCAGGTGTTTGTCCATGTGGAGGCAACTCTGCCTCTGTTCTCTGGCTGTGACTGGACCATAGCAAAGCTCCCCATGCACATCGTCCCTACCTGAGCTATGGTCCCAAGGCTCCAACCGAGAAAGGCAAAGACGGAGGAGAGTGCCCAGGAGCACTTTTCCCTTGGGCGTGCCACCCAGCCAGACCTAGGAGATCTCACTTCCAGCACAGCACTGCAGGCCCTGGACTCAGCAACCCTGCACTTCACAAGCTGTGACAAGGACCCAGGTGTCCAGGGTTCAGATTTGGCTCACTAGAGCCTGCCCCATGGGCCCCTTCAAACAGCTGTCACCAAAGAAACCTCTCTAGCGAGTCACTCCTGCCAAGCCTCAGGTCTGGCTCCAGGGCTCACCCCACCCTTCCCACCTCCTTCCCTCCCTCTTCCTTCCTTTCCTTCCCCATCCTCCCACCCCCCACCGGCTTCACCTACCCAGGACGGCTCCCCCCAGCATCCCATAATAATCCTCCTCCCTAGCCCCCACCCCCCCAAAAGAGGCGGCCATCCCATAATAGCCACCCACAAGAGACATTCTGCGGTGACCGCCCCCTCCCTGCAGAGCTGCTGGGAGCAGCCATCCCATAATAGCTGGCCGCCTGTTTTACTGGTTACTGCTGTGGAGGGAGCTGGAGAGGAAATGGAAGGGACAGAGGGGGAGGGGAGGAGGATCAAGGGCCCCCACTTTGTGGAAGGGAGGGCGAAGGGAAAGAAGAGTGGCAATAAGGGGTTAGGGGGCAAAAAGGACATTGTGCAGGCAGGAGGGTGATCCGCCGGCCCCCGCAACCCTGCTTGAGGCTTTCTCCCCATTCCCCAGGGGCTGCCTTTACCCCCAGCACCCCGGAGGTGGCTGCTAGTTAGGGGAGATGCCCAGGATGGGTTGAGGTGCCCAAAGTGTGCGTGTACGTGTGTACACAGGGCGATGGGGTTCAGGTGCTCCCCTTGGGCCGTCTGACAGAGGGGCCGACCTAGAGAGGGAGGTAACACAGTACGGGGTGACGGGGTCCCCCTCCCCTGGGCTTGGACAGGAGCTCCACAGGCCCTCCCCACTCTGCACCACCATCCCATAATAATCCCTCAGCCCCCCTCCCCCTCCCACACACGACATCCCATAATATCTTCTGGAGCAGCAGTCCCCGCAGTAGGTACAAAGAGCTATCCCATAATAAGCTCCCCACCCCCACTCCCCCCCCCAGCTTGGCCCCCCCTCAGTCACATGCAGCCGGTGCCATCCCCCGCCGCTCCCCCCTCTGGCCACCGAAGACCTTGCCAGCCCATAATACTCTTGCCTCTGGTCGCAGGAGGCCTCCAGCCCATAATACTCCCTTCCACCACCGCCCCCCCTTCCCGCCCCGCACCCCTTCCTCCCGCCTCCAGTTGGAGCCGGGCCTCACCAGCCCATAATATTCCCCAGTCTCCTAAGGCTGTTCCAGCCCATAATACTCTCCCTGTCTCCTAAGGCCTCTCCATCCCATAATACTGCCAGACGCCTGACCTGTGGGCCAAACCCCAGCCCGTTGCACACATCGAGGCTGTGTCAGCGCCGCCAGTCTCCCGCCCTGTCCCTCCTCCCGCCTCTGTCGGCCGCTTTCCCTCCCGGGCTCTCTCCCGCCCTCCTGCCCTGGGCCCCTCGCCCAGCCCCACCCCGTGCCTGCCAGGGCCCCTACTTCCCCTCCAGCCTCCTCCCTTGCCCTCTCTCCATTGCTTGGTTCTTCATCCTATCCTCCCCCCCACCTTCATGCACTTTTCCACCTACTCCTTAGCCTGCAGGATGGACACCGGCCCGGTGGGGAGAGAGTGCCCCCAGAGGGCAACAGGCCAGTCACTGGCCCTGAAGACTGCCTGCTTGACCTAGCACCATGGCAAGTGCCCGCCTGGCCCCAGTTCTGATGGCTGGCAGATCTGTCTGGGTGAGGATTCACCTGGAGCCTTGCTGTCTTCCAGAAACACTCCACTTGGGCATCACGGGCAGACTCCACAAATGGCATCTCCTCCCCATACTCTTGTTGGAAAGAGGGCTCCCATTTATGGGTCCTTTACAGTACCTTTGAAAGGTGATCTCATTGACCCCCATGAGAACCCCATAAGTAGACGTTATGAGCCCCATCATACACAGAGGAGAAAACAAGCTCAGAGAGGTTGAGTAGTTAGTTGAAGTCACATTGCAAGAAGTGACAGCTGAAATTAGTACCCAGGTTTGCTCGATTCCAAAGTTCTGGGAGCCTTTGGGATTCCCCAAACCCTGTAGGAGAAACTTCACCTTTCAGGGCTTTCAGTGCTCCTCTGGAAAGGCTAGCATAGCAGTAATTACCCCAGCTTCTGTCTGTCTCCAAGGCCTCCTGAAAGAATGCAGAAGGAAGGCCAGCGTGAGATTAACCTCCCCTTCCCCATTTCTTCCCTGGGATCCCATGTGGCAACCTTACAGGGATTTCCCTCAAGATGGTTCAGGACCAAGAAGGAAGCATCTTTGCCCCTCCTCTAGGGTCCTTCATCTCTGCCCTGTTTCTCCTGAATTTATTTCAAAACCAATGATTGTTACTTTTCTCCCAACTACTCACCCTGTGGAGGGACCATCCTGCAGAAGAGACAGATTTTGAGGAATGGAGAACCAAAATCCAGTCCCCTACTTGGTTTAGCTGGTGGACAATCACGGGGTGCTGTCTTGGAGATGCTATGTATATCGCAGCCTGAGGAAGGGGAGAGATATCGACTGCGTGAAGTCCAAGCCATCCTGCCTGCGTGTGCCACCAACAAGCTACTCCTACCTGAGCCCTCGAATGGGGTTGGGACCTTGAGTGAGCCCAGGTCTCAGCCCCCACACTGCCACACTGAGTCCAGCACCGGGGGCTGAGGCAAGTGGAGACGGAAGGGGTGGGTGTGGTGCAGGGTAAGTGGATTAGGAGCATGGAGGAAGAACTGGGAAGAGGAGGGCAGAGATGATCCAGCAGATTCGGTGTAACGCGGGCAGTTGAGAGAGCTGACCCCCAGGAGGAGGTAAGGAGAGGCAAGGAAGCCAGGGGCGGTACATAACCAGCCAGGGATGGGGACGGGTACCAGGAAGGGGAGGCAGAGTAGGATGCACTGCAAAGAGCAGGAGTCTGGCAGCCCAGGAGAGACTGAGCCACATCTTGGTTGTGTTACCTTAAACCTCAGATTCTCCAGGATTTTCATCTGTACAATGGGGATACCATTATCCCTAATTCAGAGGGTTATTACAATAACTAAATATGATAATGCATCTTAAGCACTAAATTGAAATCCTGGCATACAGAAGAGTATTTTTCAAAACTGTTGCCACTCTTTCTCTTCCATCTAAGATTTATTTTCTCCTTCTCCTTTGGATTTTCCTAGACCTTAACTGGGGTAGCTCCAAGACACGAGGTGAGGACTCCGCATTTCCCACATCTTGCCTCCATCATACGCCTCAATCAGTAACGGGGGAGTCCTGTGAAGATGGCAGAGGCTACACGTTTTCTTAAACCTCCACGGCCTGTTGCTTGTCAGGTTCTGTTCATTCTGCAACATCTCCTTAATCTACTCTTGCCTCTCTATTCTCAGAAATAGAAAACCTTTTAGATATCTGAATGTGGGGAAACAGTCCAGCAGAGCTTTAACACCATAGATTTCACACTGGAGATGACCCATTTCCATCTACCTCTTCCGCAGGCCATGATCGCACTTCTCAAGTATCATAGTAGCTCCTTGACCACTCTCTTTTCCTTAGACTCTACCCAGCTCATTCCCTTAACAGCTTACCCTACACGGTTTGTCAGTGTGAGCAAAACCTCACTCAAGGGCTTCCCATTGCCCCCAAATTAACAGCCAGCACCTTACCCTGCATTCTTGCATCTTCTGTCCTGTGTTACACTTTTTTTTTTTACTTGTTCTGTGGTCTCCACTAGATAATAAACTACTTTGCAGCAAGATCTGACTGTTCATTCAACATGTATTTATTGAGCACTTCTTCTGCACCAGAAACTGTACTAGATGCTAGGATATGTCAGAGAACTAAACGAACTAAAATCTCTGCCCCCATGGAACTTACATTCTACCTAAGAAGATGGGGTGGGGTGGGGCAGAGATAGGCAACAAACTATAAGAATTAGAATAAATAAATAAGTTATACGGTACGGCAGAAGGTGATGCCTGCTGTGAGTTTCAATTACTTTGGAATTTACTCACGTATTTACTCACTCATACAAAAGTACTCAAGTAATTTTTAAAGTTGTGTTTCATTTAGTTTGTTTCTTTTGTTTATTTTTTCATTTTTTTCATTTTTTGTTTGTTTGTTTGTTTCTTTCTTTCTTTCTTTCTTTCTTTCGATTTAGTTTGGATAGGGCAAAATGCTTAGATTTTGGACTACGAGGTTTGGTGCTGCTGGTGCTCTCAGGACAAGAAGCGCACAGGTCTCCAGCCTTGCGGATGAAGTGAGATGGATCAGGTGCTAATACCAGGCATCCTCTAGAGCAGCGGGAGGACCGGCCCAGGGTTCTAACCTCCACCCAGATGGAGAAAGGCCGGACTTCCGTGACTATCACTGAGGAATCTGGGTCAGTTCTCTAGTTTGGCCACCAGGGGTCATTTTACCCCAGTAAATCATCTGGAGCAATTGGCATAAAGGCACACACAAAAGCCTTACACCCTCAGAATATCTGAATAGCCCTACATCTTTTAAATAAATTGAATTTGTTGTTAAAACCCTCTCTCTCTCTCTCTCTCTCTCTCTCTCACACACACACACACACACACGCACACACACACGAAAACTGTATTGAGAGACACGGGGACAGAAATGCATACGCGACAGACACATGGCAACAACTCCCTCACTAATGTCAGGGTCCGGGGATGTTCTAGTGCCAACTCTGCGGCCCCTCCCAGCACCCTACTTGGGTAAAGAGGGAAGGAAACATAGATGGCCCACCTCCCTTGACTCCAGTGTGCTGGAAACAGCCTATGCCTGTCCTCCCGTGTCACTCTTACTTCCCTATGAACTCGTCTCCTGGCTGTGGCACGGTTCCTTTTTCCCCTCCCCAGAGAAGTCCCACCCCTTCCCCCCTAAATGTCTATGTGACTAGTTCCACCCCCACCCCCAGGGCTGCTGCTCAGGTAAGCCCAAGGTCCTGTTCCATGTGGTGTGCTCACCCCCCAGAAAACCCCAAGCTTAAGGACTAGTGTTAGCAATTAATTTGTCGAGCGCTGTCCTCTGCCCACAGTAATAAAAACACCGTATGTAACGCCCTGGGAAGAAGTCAGACATGAAATCTTTAGAAGAATACGGTTCTCGAAGTGTGATCCAGGCACCGACTCTTTGAGGAAGTCCACCAAGTCAAAGCGATTTTCTTTTTTTTTTTTTTAAAGATGACCGGTAAGGGGATCTTAACCCTTGGCTTGGTGTT